GCTACTTGTGTGACTACGCCACATAAAGTTGGACTGTACCAAGAGGGGAGGGGTGTTGTATATAGACATTTGCATACTCGTAATACTACGTTCCGATTGGACAATTACTACCGCCTAGCGATTGGTGGTTAACAACATATTATGATTGGCCGCCTAAACGGCGGGAGGTTTAAAATGATGCCATTGGTTGCGAGCCGCGAGCAGCCGTTATAAAAGAGGCTGCTGCGGCTCGAGTTTAGTTGAAGTTACTGACAGTTAAATAAAGAGCTGAACTCAACTCCGGTCTCGAGTCTATCTTGTTCTGGCGATAGAACATCTTCCTTTAAAAAAAAAAAAAGTTTGAGCCAGTGGTTTAGGGCACCAGGTTAGGAAGCAAGAAGGTATGTGTTCAAATCCTGCCTTAGCCATGAAAGCCAGCTGGATGACTTTGAGTCAGTTATTCTCTCTCAGCCCATCCATCTCACAGGGTGGTGGTTGTGGGGAAAACAGGAGGAGGGAGGTGTGTTGGATACGTTTGTTGCCTTGAGTTATTTATAAAAAATAATAAAGATGGGATGCAAATAACTAAAATAGCAAATGGGGAGAAGGGAAGAACTCTTCCAGCTACATTTTACTTCCAGGGCCTTTCCCTAAAAAAGCAAGTCAGCCAACCCCCACCCAGGATAGAAAAAATAAATTCCTCAGCCACTGTTAGGAAACTGCTTGCAAAACCCATCAGAAATCTTTTCCAGCATTTCCATCCTCAGTTTACGTGGCAGCTGTGAGGTTATAGTAAAAACAGGCACACAGTTGACCTTAGAGGTTGCAGAGGTTCAGGAAGGAGGAAAAAGCAAATCGGGCCAGACTGGGTTTTGCTATAAACTGAAAAAAACAAAACAAAAAGAGGAAATGCAAGAATGAAAAAGAATTTCTGCAAAGGGCTAGGAAAGAGGGCAGGAAGAAAACAGTGCATTTCCAAAGACACAAACACAAGCCTTATTTTTCTACAATTAATTCTAGTTAGAAACATTCTTTATTTCCTATTCCTTGTCTTTTCTTTTAAAGAATTGGGCTTCAAGATTATGTGTATTGTAGACCAACCAGAGGTGGTATTCAGCAGGTTCTGGCCAGTTCTGGAGAACTGGAAATTTTGAGCAGTTCGGAGAACCTGCAAATACCACCTCTGATTGGAGATTTTACAGTATCTTTCCCCTGCCACACCCACCAAGCCACGCCGACAAAACCAGTAGTAAAAAAATTTGAATCCCACCACTTAGTCCAACTATGTTGAAATGACAAGCATCCTGAGATTCATACAACATATAAACAGGTTAGTTCAAAGCTTAACAGGTTTGGCTAGCTTTATCTACTTTTCTGAAGTTTGGCCTGCAAACATAGCTTGTTCATTTAGCATATGTTGCAATGAATGATACAAACTTGGAAAACATGTTCCTTCAGGAACCATATTAAGTGCTTTTCCAGAAGTTTTTCTTCTCTGAGTAAAAGTGACCAAGTTAGAAATATTAGCACCTACGCACAGAGTTTGGTAGTCTTAGAAACTCTCTTTAGGTAGCAAAGCATCTTGATATTTGTGGGTCTTACCTGTGAAGAGGTAACTAGATTTGTGCTCTAAGCAGATAAGTTACACCCATCCTTTATACAGGAAATCCTTGACTTACAACCATTCATTCAATAACTTTTCAAAGCACTGAATAAAGTGATTTATAACAGTTTTTCACACTTACAGCATCCTCATGATCACATGATCAAAATAAGTCTGGAAAAAAGTCACTTTTTTCAGTGCCTTTGTAACTTTCAACAGACTAAACAAATGGTTATAAGTCAAGGACCTGTAATTTATATATATATTTTATGTATTTGTTAATGAAATATAATAGTAAGTGATTAAAATAATATTTTCACAGGTTGCATTTATATTTATATTATATTTAAGTCATACATGAGTTATAGAAGCAAAATAAAAATTATATATAGACCCATAGAAATAAGTGGTTGCCCAGTTGTATCAGCTATGTTGAAAGATTTGACAAACAAATCTTGACAAACTCCAAAACTGCAGGTTTTCCTGTTAAAAATGAGAGGGAGCGGAGGGGGGGGCGGTTGTGAAATGTTGAAAGATGATAGATTTAGCTTTCATATTATGGGCTACAGGCCAGTAACTTCCTCTTTTGGATTGCCCATGTGTTGTAATACTTGTGTTTAGCAGGACATCATCTCTGAGAACATAAATACAACATTTGTTATGGAGAATACAAGAGGAATAATAGATCTGGCCAAGTAGTAACCAGATTGCTGGGAGACTGTGCTTGAAATTCTTTAAGTCCTTCAGGAGCAATACAATATAGCTTCTAAAAAGGATAGCCTGCCTCTGCCTCAAAAAAGGAACTTCAGAGAAGGAGTGCAAAATATTAAAGTTTTTGGATTAGGAGGAAAGTTTAGTTAACTCCTTGTGTTGACTTGTGGTACATTCCTTAATAAGCTCAGATCACTTATATTGCTTGCAAATCTCTTTTTTCTATCATCTCTCCCCCCACTCTCCCTCTCCCCCCTCTGTCACACACACACACACTCCCTCTAACTCTACCTACCTACCTATCATCTACCTGCTATCATTTTGTCTTTCTGTATTCTCTCTCTCACACACACATACACACACTCCAACTAACTCTAACTCTACCTACCTATCATTTACATGCTATCATTCTCTGTCTCTCTGTATTCACACTCTCTTATACACACACACAATCCCTCTCCTTCTAACTAACTCTAACTCTACCTACCTACTTACCTATCATCTACATTCCATCATTCTATCTCTCTGTACTCTCTCTCTCTCTCACACACACATACACACACTTTTCCTCTTACTAACTTTAACTCTACCTACTTACCTATCATCTACATTCTATCATTGTGTCTCTCTGTATTATCTCTCTTTCTCTCTCACACAGACACACCCTTTCCCTCTTACTAACTCTACATACCTATCTACCTACCTACCTGTTAATATGGCTCCGCATTACATCCTACAATACCTTGAATCTCCAAATACCTACTCAAGGGCCATCTTTGTAGACTTCAGTTCAGCATTCAACACCATCATTCCAGACATTCTTCAAAGTAAATTAATCCAACTAGCGGTACCTGAACACACTTGTAAGTGGATCATAAGCTTCCTAACAGACAGGAAGCAGCAGGTGAAGCTAGGAAGAATCACATCTGATACTTGTACAATTAGCACAGTCTCCGCCCCCCTCCCAAGGCTGTGTGCTTTCTCCACTTCTCTTCTCCCTATATACCAATGGCTGCATCTCAAACAATCCATCTGTTAAATACTGAAATTTGCTGGTGACACAACAGTGATTGGCACCAATGTGCCTACCATCCCTGTTCTATTGGGGAGGGGGGTTGTATATGTATCCATATCATGTATTCATAACTGTGTTTATACTTATGCCTGTTATCTTATAATTGCTTGACAAATAAATAAACTTACCTCATAGTGTAACCGGAACAATCTGGAACTGAACACACTCAAAGCCGTAGAAATGGTGGTAGATTTTAGAAGAAACCCTTCCATACTACCACCTCTTACAATAGTAGACAACACAGTATCAACAGTAGAGACCTTCAAATTTCTAGGTTCTACTATATTACATGACCTAAAATGGACACCTAACACCAAAAACATCATCAAAAAAGCACAACAAAGAATGTTCTTTCTGCACCAACTCAGAAAGCTCAAACTGCCCAAGGAGCTGCTGATACAGTTCTACAGAGGAATTATTAAGTCTGTCATCTGCACCTCTATAACTGCCTGGTTTGGTTCTGCAACCCAACAGGACAGACACAGACTTCAGAGGATAATTAGGACTGCAGAAAAAACAATTACTACCCACCTGCCTTCAATCAAGGACCTGTATACTGCATGAGTCAAAAAAAAGGGCTGTAAAAATATTTACAGACCCCTCACATCCCGGATAATAAACTGTTTCAACTCCTTCCCTCAAACACTATAGAGCACTGCACATCAGAACAACTAGACACAAGAACAGTTTTTTCCCAAAAGCCATCACTCTTCTAAACAAATAATTCCCTCAACACTGTTCAACTATTACAAAGTCTGCACTTCTATTACTGTTAATCTTCTCATCACTCCTTATCACCCATCCCTTCCCACTTGTGACTGTATGAATGTAACTTTATCACTTGTATCCTTATGATCTATATTGACTGTTTCCTAGTATGATTTGATTGCTTATTATACCCAATGACTATTATTAAGTGTTGTACCTTATGATTCTTAACTCTTGATGAATGTATCTTTTCTTTCATGTATACTGAGAGTATCTGCACCAAGACAAATTCCTTGTGTGTCCAACCACACTTGGCCAATATTCTATTCTATTCTATTCTATTCTATTCTATTCTATTCTATTCTATTCTATTCTATTCTA